CAGGCACACGCACAGGCACACGCACACGCACACGCACACGCCACGCACACCCACACACACACGCGCTCACACACACGCACACCCGCACACACCCACGCGCGCACACACACACAGACAAAAGAAACACCTGCCAACACACACACACACACGCACACACACACACACAAAGAAAAAAAAACACGCACGAGCTTCAAGCGAGCAGATCAGGCGCGCGGCCGCATCCTTGTCGGCCCCGATGTCGACGTAGGCCAATGATGGACCACGGAATTGCGCAGCCATCCTCGTGCAAGAGACTTAGCTTATCAGGTGAACCTCATCCACAACACTCAAACCATGTGCAACAGTGTCCACGTGAGCGGGTGTGAACCTGGCAAAAGTGTGAATATGCACCACGCGCGTGCATCTGCATGTCCATAGTGGGTCGCGCTTGAATGTATGGCTGTGTTGGAGGCAGCAAGCAGCTCGTGGATGCCTATAGGACGACGAGTCACGACGAGTGGTTGCTTGCGAAGGCTGTCTAAAGCCAAGCTTAAGCCAGCAAGCGGTATGCATCCAGGGCCCACGCACACGCCCACTCACGTTTTGTCCTGAGTTCCGACCAATCCGTCTTCAAGGCAGGCAGGCAGACAGGCAGGCAGGCAGGCAGGCAGGCAGGCAGGCAGGCAGGCAGGCAGGCAGGCAGTACTAGCCGTAGCCTTTGCAAACCAGCTATTCGAGCCTCCTTCGCAGCACTGACGGCTTCAACAAATCTGCAATAGATTGCAAAAGCAATTCGGCACTCCGGGCGAGCCAGGCGAGGTTCAAGTGTGCATCCCAGAAACTTTCTTGAAGTCGGCCTCTGATGCCTCAGTCGCTGACCGACTTCGAACTCCTCCGGCTGCGAGAACTCCTTCGTGAGCTCGGCGATCGTCGCCTCCTGTGCCTGCCATGTCACGAGACAGGATTCTTCTGTGAAGTTTGTCTCGGAGTATCGGATCCCGTGGCGCATGCAGACTTCAAGCTGAACCAATGAACTCCCAGCACTGCCACACCTCATCGGCAACACGCCGACGGAGCACCTAGCCAGCAACTTACACCGACGGTGCTGGGAAGTGGAGAGCAACGGAGCGAGATCTTCAAGCTTTGCCGAGGCCGAGACCCTTTCGTGGGGAGCACATGAGAGCTGCCTGTCATGAGGTGTGAAACCACTTCTTAATGCCTCTCCTGCTTACGAAATGATGCTGCTTGAAGCATCCTTCTCCTCTGAACTCACGAACGCCGAACCGACCTTTTCTTCCTGGGCCGGCCTCCCGCAAAAGCCCAAGGAGCTTGCCGATTCCCGGGGGCTCCAGGCCTTGTCAAAAACATCGACTTTCACCCCAAACCCGCGACCTACTGCCACAAGAACCATGGCAATACCTCTTACAAGAAGGAAATGCGTACACACCTGCAGAGTGAACAGCGAAGTCCGAGATCCGCGCACAGATGCTGCCGAGGAGCAGCAAAAGGCCTCTGCGAGAATCCGTTCAGACCTCTTTAAGGCCTAGAAGGTTTGGGCTTGGGGCTCGGCAGGGTTCTCCGCGAGTTTCATGTTACTAGTACCACAAAGGTCAAAGTGGGTTCAGGGTTTGAAGGTTTACTTGTTTGCCACCGATTGCCAGGGTCCTAGGTCCTGCAGGGCATATTTCTGCAGCCATGACCCTCACAAATGGAGATGCCTACTGGTCAATGCATGTCACATTCACTTGTCAGTTGGGCCAACCCTTTGCATCAAAGCGTTGAACTTTGGACCTGAACCCCGGCAACTCCAGATGATGCCTGCCGCCAAACCCGACAACCATAGATGACAGTTGCGTACATCCTGAGATTCTTGCTCTCTTTCCGGAACCGTGATTTGCATCACCCTCCATATCCTTCTCTGAAGCCGAATGGCGCCATGCTCCCAAGCGTCGGCCCATTTCCCCATGTGCGAGCGCTTGCTGCCCACGGGGCTGTACTGCGAAGTTCAAGGTTTCGGATGTCTTTGGCGAGTAGCTGAAGAGATGCTGGCTGTGGCGAGGGGTTCTAGGAGTCATGGGCGATGTAGGCGAGAAGTTGTTCTAGCACGTGGAGACCCGAGCTGCAGCAGGGAGCTGTCGCGTCCGACCTCTGATCTGAGTCTTGGCTTGGTGTCACTGCAAAGGCTGCGGATGTAGCTAGCACGCATGGCCAAGCTTTGGTCAAGAAAACAGCAAGCGGCAGGCACAGCTTTTGAGGCCACATGTGTTTGAAGCTATCTCGGGGAGCTTCGTGGCATATTACAGTTGCCTAAAGAGGACGATGCTACAGGGAGGTTCTTTCTGATTCCGTCTAGCTCCCATATGTTCAACACCAGGAAGCACAGCTGCACCATCCCCCACCACCACCACCACCACCACCGTCATCATCATCATCATCATCATCATCAAGGGGATGTTTTTTCAATCCCAGACTATAGGCTAATTCACCCTCCCTGTTCTTTTAAACCCCCTGCATCTTCAAACCAACCCCGTGTCCTGTCCTTGTTGGCCCATTCACACCCCACCTCCGTAGAACGGCTCTAGGAATCTATCCTTTGCTGAGTTTTTTGCGAATCTGTCTGATGGGGATTGCCGACATCTAACGTCCTCACTTCGTGGAGACAAGCCGTTCAGCATTCGCGGGCGCTGGCATCTGAGTCTGGCAGCCTGCAAATGTGCCAAGTTCTGAGTATGCAAGCATTCGTACCCGCAAAATCGTGCCGACTTTTCTGCTAGTTTGTGTCATGCCCTCGCATGTCTTAAAGTTGCAGCAGTCAGAGCTGCCCGCGTGCTTGCAGGCCATGTGCAAAAGGAGCTTCGACCAGAAGCAAAACAAGCGAAGGTATATGCACTGTCTAGCAGAGTCTAGTGCCAGCTCACAGCCATGGTCAATACCAGCATGCAAGAAAGCTGTTCAAGTAGCACACACGTGTAGGCAAAACGAAAGGCCAAGAAGTTGGTGCTCCATTCCGGCAAATGAAAACGTTACTCCACTAGTAAGATGGAATCTAAGCCGGCTACGAAAGACGGGCACCTCAAGTCAGGACACTCCGGGCTTCCTCGCACGGCGCCGCTGTGACTTCCAAGGTGCCTCTCCCACCTCGCCAGCAAAACTGATGGAAGACGAGAAAACGGGTCATAAGACGGGTCCACAGATCTCATAGATGGGGACCCCACTGGGTGTAGGACAGAATCCTGTGCTCCCATTTCTGTGCAACGGCGTTGGCTCTGTGGGCTTCTCGGAAGGCTCTCTGAAGAACAGAGTATGGATGTTCAGAACGGGAACCACGGCAGCCCCCTCTGGCTGAATCATGCTGAATCTGCAGGTGAAGCAGCCATGACCAACTTGAGGGAATGTGTGACATCCGACCGGAGGACCGATTGCGATACACTGACTTTCTGCGTTTACTGAGAAGCAGAACACACTCAATTTGTACATGTGTATATGCATACACACACGCACACACACACACACACACTATACACCATACAAATGTACGATGTCTGCCTTTGCGTCATACCATACCAGATCGCACATGCACACATGCATACATACATACATACATACATACATACATACATACGTACATTTCATACATACATATATACATACATACATACATACATACATACATACATACATACATACATACACACACTCATACACTCATACATATATACATACATACATGCATACGTACATACATACATACATACATACATATACATACATATACATATACATACATATACATACATATACATACATATACATACATATATACATACATACATACATACATACATACATACATGCATGCATGCATGCATGCATGCATACATATACACACATACACATACATATATTATACATACGTACGTACGTACGTACGTACATACACTCATACATTCATACACACATACACACATATACATACATGCATACACATATTATACATACGTACGTACATACATACACTCAGACACTCATACACTCATACACTCATACACTCACACATACACACATACATACATACATACATACATACATACATACATACATATATACATACATACATACATACATACATACATACATGCATTACATTACATTACATTACATTACATTACATTACATTACATTACATTACATTACATTACATTACATTACATGACATGACATGACATGACATGACATGACATGACATGACATGACATGACATGACATGACATGACATGACATGACATGACATGACATTACATTACATTACATTACATTACATTACATTACATTAC